GTCCCTCTGACTGCAATATCTTTGACTTGTAATTACTCTTCATTATTGGTGTGTACAAAAAACAAACAAAAAACACAATAGTGATAAAATCACTCTTCAGTGCGCCGTTGTTAGAACGACCAATTTTCAACTCTCTGGGTAGAGCTCAAAGTTTAGATAAAAATACCCATCTTTTTTATTTCTGCTGTGATGTTCAAGTTCCGTTTACTCGAGATAAGTATGCAGTGTTTTAGCGTATGTGGCAGCATGCGGAAGTATCTGAATGTAAAAGAACTTGTTCTTGGGCTAGTTGGTGTTGACTATCTGAGTATGTTTTAGAGGCGCTGCAAAAGAGTAAAAAAAAAAAAAAGAAAAAAAAAAAAAGGAGAAAAGCGAGTTAGCCCGAACCCTTCCGAGCTCATTCCAGCCTGCCGAACTAATCCGTGATGTTTGGGATTGAAGCAGAGAACCTTGACGGGTTACAAAGATTTTGTCGGGGGGCCGGTATGCCCATTAGCACTCGTGCGAGAAGGCCGTAAAAAGCGAGGAGAAAAATGGAGGAGGGAAGGGGAGGAGGAAAAAAAGAAACGAGAGGGAATCTTCTGCCACGCTGAAGAAAATTTTGAGCGCCCCGCTTTAAGGTTCAGCACTGTCTGAGCTTGGCTTTTTAGACAGGGCTTGCGTGTTTACAGTGTTGCGTAAAGTACATCTAAAAAGTACTTGAAGTAAAGTACAAAGTAAATGATGGCCTGTTATGTACTTCAAGTAAAGTAGTAAGTACATCATGTGCAATCTACTTGAAGCAACATATATAAATACAATACACTTTAAGGTAAAGTATAAGCACTTTTAACACAATCTTTCATGATGCTCTCTCACTCCCTATACAGTGTTTTTTGAACTGGTATGCATTGCTCCAGGGGTACGTAATCGGAGGTGCATCGGTTTTTTTACGGAAAGGGCAGCAAATATTGTATAAGGTCAAGTCGCCACAGAGTAGTTGTTTTACTCTCGCTGACGAGCTTTTTGACACAATCAACTTATAAGGCACTTATTTCCATCGGTCTTACAGCCGCCATTAGTTCACTCAGAGAAATGACCAGATGACGTCTCGAAAGAACGCGTTTTCACACGACGATACCGCCATTTTTTGTTTTCTTATTCGGGGAATGTATATTGAAGTCGGGAGTTTTTCTCGGAAAATACAAGAAAATGCTCAAAGAATTTACTTAAAGTACAAGTTTTTCTAAACAGTAGTGCCTTAAGTACCATCTACATAGAGTACTTCCCAACACTGCTTGTTTATTATTTTTTATATAAAAACGCTGGGAAAATTACTACAGGTACACGCGATTCTTCGAGTACAGCACAAACTACGGGAGCACCAGATGAGTTTCGAGCAGGTGCTGCATTTTGTTGCCTCCTTTGAGTGAGGAAGCAGTGTGTGCCCCTCCTGTAGTGGGCGAGAGTTCCTACGTTTGGGACAAGTGGAGACCAGCCGTTACTTCAAATGGGTCAAGTCTCCTTGAGCTTCGGGACACAGAGAAACGCAAGTCTTCGGCGGTAATCCCGCCTTTACTCGGCCTCTCTTGCATCGGGTCTGTTCGTTCCCCGCGCCTCGTAGCAGTGTTGTTGCATTGTGTGTGTGTGCGGGGGGAGGGGGGGGGGGGGAGAGGGGGCTTGTGAAAATTTTGGGGGGCTTCGGTCTCTCCAGACCATTTTCTGCCCCCCTCCCTTCCTACGCTACATGCCTCCCCCTCTTTGCAAATATCAGCTGATCTTCCAACATCCTATCTCTATTGTGCAGGAATGTTTTTGATAGGTAAAACAACCACTAGAATTCGAAACTAATTTGTAACTTTTGTAGAAGTTACTCAAAAAAGTAATTAAAGTAAACTACTAATTACCGAAATAAAAATGTAATTGACAGTTACTAAACTACACTGAAAAGTAGTTAAACTACACTAACTTGAGTAGAGTAGTTGAACTACGTACAAGTCTGTCTTGAAGATAAGACGTCTTCAAAGGGAAGCTGAAGCGGTTTTGTAATTGAGGAAACACACTTGCCCTTCAGGAAGCCCAATGTTGAAATTATTTTCCAATTTCATGCACAAAGGCAGCAGATAATCTCTTTTCAAAGTACTGCTGAAGCCCCTCCTTCCCAAAGCGTGCCATCATAGCAGGAGTTTCCGGAATCTCCGCTCTCGCGTATCTTCAGTGCCCATCGAAGTTACGCACGCAACTCTTGCTATTTTTAAAAATAAAAAAAAGACGCCGTGATTGCTGCCAGTGCGGGGGTGTGGCAAGCCTGCGACTGCTCACGAGCGACACGCGCTTGTCGGCCGAAAGATCCTTTTATGACGTAAAGACTGGTCGGAGGTCTTTCGTGTGTTCTCGCGTTTAGTTACATCTTCGGGGAAAACAAGCGATATCTTCAGAATTACGGGATCAAACAACGCAGAAATCAACCTCTATCTCTATTTTCGGAAGAAGCGCTTCACCTTCTCTTAGGGTCAAGAGGAGAAGGCCACTCAAGCTTGTCTTGAGTTGGAAGAGATAAAAAGGAGAAAACAAACATTTGCGTTGCAATAAGAACTGGAAACTTTGTACTGGTGTTGAATGGTGATCAATTTTAACCAAATTATAACGTTTTATGATGCGCTTCAATGGGGAACTCGTGAACGTGAACCAATTGAGTATCTCAGCTAAAACTCGTTCTTCCTAAGTGGGTCCCGCTTATGTTAGTGTTTGGCAAAATGCGAGGCTGACTGATTGATCTACACTGCATATCATTTTATAAATGGTGGCATTAGTCGTGTGGATGCTTCACAGACGGAACCGGCAAGCATTTTCCTCCTCGCTAGTGGTTTGACGCTGCATATATAATGAAACATCTCTCGTGGAAATAGAAATTGTCAGTGCTGTTTGGCCAAAACATTCACCCTTGGAAATGGTGTAGTCCCATAGTACTTATTTTGTTCGCGTCCTTCGTATTGAAATGTCTCGCAGGTACCCTCCTACTGACAAGTGGTGTAATTATCCATGCCCTGTTTAATCTCGAAACTGGCCTTCAGTTTTTTACTTGATTAAACTGAACTGCAAATGCGCGTTTTCCCATTTGTTGCCTTCTTTTTTTCTCGTTTCTGCGTCGTAATTCGTAATCATTTACTGCGCAGTTTAATGAACTAATGAATAGCCCACTAGACCAATTCCAAGCACTGGCATCCTTCAGTTATAGCCTTTGCTCATCGCTTATGACGATATATGAGGGCAGGTAAAGTAACTTTGTGTTGGCGACTGTTTATTAATACTCATTAATCTACACTTTGCAGGCCGAGCTGACCGGAAATGCTCTTAATGCAAATGCGAGCAACCCTTCGCTGCCTAGGAAGGAGGGTCAGCCACCAGCCAGCTCAACTTGAGGGCTACATTTTCCCCCAGAAAACCGGAACCAACTAGCCGGATAAAATTAGGAATGGCCACAGCTCAGCCAACTACATGCGACATTTTTATTCGCTTCCCTACCTTCCTTGCCGACGCACCGTGCCCATTTATTTGACGTGTAATTCCCAAAATCTTTGGCGGTGATATACCGTACTGTTGTTGGTTCTGTGGCATGCCTGCCTTTTTTTCAGCACTACAGAGCAGGAGTGACGTATCTAAACCACGCTCCTTGGTTTTATTTACCTGTGTCTTTGTCAATTTGTGTGAGACTGTATCGGCGTAATCCTTTACCGCATGTTTAAGGTGAAGTGAAACCTTTGAAGTACATATTTAATAGATAAGGATCGTTTGAGAATGCAGCTCTTAGGCGCCCGTTTCCGGCTTGAGCGGCGTCGCCGTCGGCGTAACGAAGGTCACCACAAGGTCACGTGACCCCCAAGGTCACCCCAAGGTCATGCGACACCCCCCCCCCCCTCCCCCAGGTCACGTGACCCCCTCCCCCCGAGGCAGACTTGTACGCGTTACTGAAAAAAAGTAACTGATTACAATTACAATTACTACAGTCAAAAAAGTAACCGATTACCGTTACTGATTACTGCCTCCCAGAAGTAATTGAACAATTACTGCAAAGTAATTGATTACTTTTCAAGTTACTTTCACGTTACTTCTTATTGCGATGACAGAAATACACAAATACACAGTAAAATATCGCGTACACAATTTTGTTTGGTTATTGTTCCCTTTTTTGTTTTCAGACCCGGACCTTGTCGTGTAGCTGACGCGTCGACCTAAGGAACAAAGCCCACTAAAAAGTCAATAGCGAGTTCCCGCTTCCCGTCGACTTTATCAGCAATCTGCGACGAGATCCGGAACTCCCCAGCCAAGGCTGGTGGCGCGCTTGTAGAAGAGCGTGGCGTAAAAGAAAAAAGGATTTGCCGACTAATCCAAGTTTTATTTTTTTTAGATGTTAAAAAAATGTCAATCATTTTCGCTCCATGGCTGAGTGACTATACTGATTTTTGTGAGAAAAAAAGAATTGTGGGATGAAAAATGTAATTGGTAATTGTGTAATTGATTTTGTAATTGATTACAGAAAAAAAGTAATTGAAATACTCCGAGCGTTAAATGTAATTGAAGCGTTACAAAATTACACTTAACTGTAATTGATTACAAGTAATCAATTACTTGTAACGCGTTACGTACAAGTCTGCCCCGAGGTCAGGTGACCCCCCCGGAGCATATTAAAGAATGAGGGGAGGAGGAGGAGAAGGAGGAGGAGGGGCATACTCTCCCCTCAGTACCTTCCCCTCCTCCTCCTCAAGAGCTGTGCTCCAATTCGGCATTACAGGGAGTTGTAAACGGCTTTCACTTTTTTTATGTATGATTCACGTGCAATTTTTGCAATAATGTTTTTCGGGAATTTCAATATTCAGTTTGATGCCCGTGCTTTTTCGTGATGTCGTTATTTTATTTATTGAATTACACCGCAATAGGAATGTAAACCCCTGAATTTCTTTACTTCATCAGCATGATGTGTCTATGTTCGCTTGTTCCTTAAGTTCGTTCTGATTGGGCTTCTGAATTGGTATAGTATAAAAAAAGGAACTAAAGAAAATTTGATCTTCACTCCTAACAGAACTTGCCGACGCAGCATTCGACTCCGAATGGCAGAGAACGGACTGCGAGGACAAGGGGGCGGAGCTCTCCTTCCAAAGAACCGAATTGCAGAGGCAACCATTGAAGATGGACCAGGAGGGGAGGACGGACGGCGGTGCGACTTCTGCAGCCAATCTTATGGTACCCAGAGAACTAACAACACCAGGTATGCGAAGACGCACACGGGAAAACACTCACCCAGCCTCGCACCTTCTTAGCACATCCTGACATATTCATGAACGGTTGGTTCCACACGAATTGAAAAACGTTTTGTAGGCCAGGTTTTCCAGAAGGTAGAAAATGTCAGGAGTCTGAAGTGGTACACAAAGTTTTCCTCCCGTGGGATAAAGGGGTTACATTCCAAAGTCCGAGTACTACAACTATGGTGAAAGTAATGGTGAATTCGCGTGGTCGCCTCTCTCCTCTGACCTCGATTCAGCAGAGCGCCCCCTCCTCGCCGCCAGAGCTACTCGGGATCCTTTTCAGCCGATCACAACTGCTGGCTTCAGAGCGCTCCGAGATTCTCAGACCAGTCACGGAAGTAAAACTTCTTGACATTGGTAATGCATTAAAAACAACACGATCTTACAGCGTACGGTGGACGATTGAGCAAAATTTACGCTCGCAACGTGATGAAATAACTGTTGTGACGTAAATTGTTTTACGCATCGGCATGTAAAAAAAAAGAAGAAAACAGCAGTATGGGAATTGATTTTCGCAGAACGGAAATGAAAGCCAACGCTTGGAAAGAGTTGTCAACTCATCGCGTTTTCGTCAGTGAACGCGCTGCGATAGCGGTCACGCGTTCGACAGAATAGGCAAATATAAAACGGTTAATAAACCGCATTTTTCTCACGGCTAAATATCGTGCAAGCATCGCCATGTGACACAAATCACAGTGCATTATATTCGGCTCTTCCTTTATTTTAGAACACAAACCTTTGAATGCACTTTTACCAAACCTGAAAATTTCTTGAAGCGACCACAAAACCCGGTAAAACAGCGGCGAGCTCTACGAGCTGTTTCTTCGTCGGTTAGGCTTAGCGGATTCACCGCCGTGAGATCAACGATCTCGCGAAAGCGCTGGGAATACTTCACACGTCGACTTTTCCTGTTACGGTCGCAAAGGAATGTCGTCCCGTCCGTCGTAATCCTCGCACCGTCAAATTCAGAAGCACTTTGTAGAACCACATATCAATCCTCGTCATGCCGTACCCCGCACACCACCACAGACCACTGCCGGCCATCGTCAACAAAACCACGTGATCCCCGTCCAAGTACCACGTGACGCCTGCGCCGCTCCGCACTCCGACGGCTAGAGACGGAGTGCCAGAGAGCGCTCTGAGAGGGAGAGGCGCCCTCGGAATGAACCACCCGATCAGGCGACAGCACTCGCTTTCAACCACCCGATCTCGCGCGCTCTGGAAAGAGCGCTCGAGAGCGCGCGGAAAGAACCACGCGAATTCGCCATAAGCAAACAAGTTGGGCTCAACTGAAGGAACATTCAGTCCGAGCACTCGAAGTTGCAATTGATACATATTTTTTGATATCAGAGAAATGTACTATGCTGAGTTGCTTACTTATACCACAAAATTGTATTTTTTCCTTTAGTTCCGGTTGATTGAGTAGCTCTCACAAATGCTATAAATTCTGTTTGACGCATAAAATACTCCAAAAAGGTTTGGCTGTTTCAAATGCTTGAGAATTTTCTCTCAACATTATTTGTGTCACCTAGCTTTAGCTTTAGATTGGCAAATGTGCATTCAGTTAAAACACCGTTTTTCGCAGTTTCAGATTGCTCGTAAAAAAAATCGCTGTGGGCCTTAGCAAACTTTTCAGTTTCTAAGGTGCAAAACGAGTATTTTACGAGCCTATTGAATGCTATTTTGTGTAGCCTAATAATATGTGGGTGTGTGAACGACCCTTCCAGCGTTACTTAATACACAGTCAGGATCATTATGAATGTCAACATGCTATCACCCAGCGCTCCCTACTGGCAGCGTTATGCAGCCGCAGTGTTGTAGGCGTCACCGTAAAAAAAGGAAAGATACGTCATTCGTTACTTGTGAAATAAAGGTACTCGATACCGTTACCGACAGAAAGTAGCCCACGTTACTTTTGCGTTACTTCGTATTTAAAAATTGACGGTAACAGCGTTTTTTTTTCGTTGTTGTTTTTTTGTGACAGCGTTTTTCGACACCGGGATGACGGGCGCGGGCGTTGGAGATTTCCTAAAGTGGAAATTTTTGCGTGAGAAAAAGAGGCAAATTTTAGAAAGTATGTAGAATGAGTGCAATAATTAATTACTTGGGTCACATACTATGTTTCAGCTTAAATCTAGACGCAGCCGACGCTACGAACTAATGGGACAAATCAAGCAGCGTCAAAATCACAAGTCACTGGGACATGAATGTTTACGGTTGGTTCAGCGAAGATTAAACCCGTACAGAAACACAAAGAACAACATGATGGTTCCCTTTCCCCTCTCTCTGATAATTCCCATCAGCCTGTAGCGTCAGCTGCATCTGGACTTCAGGTAAAACGAAGTATAAAAACTGGCAAAAATACAGGTGTTCGTTTTCAAGTTTTCGGAAGATGTAACGCGTGACGTAATTACGTTATCCGTTACTTGAAATAACTAACGTAAGTACGTTACCCGTCACTGTCTTGGAAAGGTAACGAGTACTTTACACGTTAATAACAAAAGTAAGGTGTTACCGGTAACGACGTTACTTGTAACACGCTACCGCCAACACTGTGCAGCAGCGACCGCGGCGGCTTGACTCCCCTTCCGCACTTGGTTAGGAGAACGCACAAGCCACCACAGCTGCCGCACCATAGGGCTGCCAGAATCGAGTCTTAAACGATCGCCTGTAGACATTTACAAGCTTTGCGAATGATTTTTTTTAACATCTCAAATGAATGAATACCCACTGTAGGCCGCACCGGCATAATGTAGGTATACTGGACCATGTTCAGAACAATTAAAAATGCGCGAACATTTCTCGCTTTGTCCTGCCATCCCAACAGACTGGAACGGAGCAGGCTATGGCGACCAGGTGGATACTTTTGACCGCGACAGCCGCAGAGGTGACACCTCTCCCCAGACCAACTGGTCGGACCCACACAAGCGGCAGAAGCACCGACAACCGAAGAAGCACCCGTGCCGCTTCTGTCCTTACTCACGCCCTTCCGCAACGGATGTCGCCATCCACGAGAGGACTCACACTGGCGAGAGACCCTTCAGTTGTGGTGCCTGCGAGAAAACATTCACGAAGAAGGGTAACTTGACGGCTCACGTTAGAACTCACACCGGAGAGAAGCCGTTCAAGTGCAACACGTGCAGCAGGGCATTTACTCAGAAAGGCAGTTTGGCGAACCATGAGAGGACTCACACCGGAGAGAAGCCGTTCAAGTGCGAGACCTGCGGTAGAGCATTTGCGTCTGATAACGGTTTATGCAATCATCGAAAGATACATCGCAAGTGATCGAAACCCTCACGCGCATCATAGTTGTGAAAGGTGTTTAAACGAAATACTCGAGCGCCGACATGTGTTCATATCGTTTGGCGATAGACCTGCAGGGGTTTTACTTGCGAGCAGTGTGTGTTTCGCATGGTTCAAAATGTTTCCTCCTCTTACTGATCGCGTAAACACAGCTAAAAAATGTGAATTTACCTTAGAGTAAGCGACCAGAGTTCTTTTTTGTACACGAAAAAAAGAAAATACTTGAAGCCTTGTGTTTCTTTATTAATTTAGAGTCATTAATCACGTGATGCACCTGACGTCTCTGGGTTGTCTGTAGGGTCACTTACGTTCCTTTCAAGTCGGCCTCCTCATGACCATAAACATACGAACTCATAAAATACCTAAGGTCTTTCAACAGCAGCAATCTTGAATATTGCTAATGTTAAGAAAGTATAAGAGCAACCGAGTAATGAGGAGGGGTCAGCATAATTTTTAGATGAGAAATAAAGCTATATTCGAAACTATTTAACACGCCAAGCTGGAAACTAATGCTTTGCTCATAGGACTGCAATGAATATACATGACTCGAAGATGTAGAAATGCGGTGTAATTTCCTATCTCATATCGTAATATTCTTTGTCCTTTTCTTTTTGACCAGTTTTAGTATCTGAATTCTGATGACATCACTCAATGTGCTTGCTACTTGTAATACTCGTATGTACGTTTTCCTTTTGCATGGTTTTTTTTGCGCATTCACGAAGACGGTCCTGATTATTTAGGACATTTATACTTTCAGTGCTATTCATTTGGTGTTCATATATACTTCGTTTCACCTTAGGTACGAGCGCGGACAATGTTTTGAGCCGGAGGACCAATAAAACAGCGCAAAAAGCGCAACGCCATGGCCTGCTCTCTGCGCTTGATAGAACTAGCCGATGGAGTAGCACGCAGAGAGAGATGGCGAATACCGGCTACTCCTAGAGTCCTATGAACTGCAGAGAACTCGTCATGGCTGTGTGCCTCTTTCGCTGTTTGATTGGCGCTTCGCCTCATAACATCGGCCACGCTCGGACCTAAGCTTAAACGATGATAGTTTCACTTGAATTCGTCAGGATTTTAAATATTCGAAATTCCTCTTGTAGTGGACGGATCATATACATGTGTTGTACTAAAGGCATAATTGACTCCATTGTGTATATAGTTATGTGTCTAAAAACTACATATGTATAATCCATCTAAATATGTCTTAATCTGCTCTGACTGTACAGTGGTTGTCACTATTGCCTGATGCGCCAGAATTGAAGGAGGGGGAGTCCTGTTCCCAAACGTATAAAATATTTGTTTTAACATATACACGATGTTTCCAGAAAAAAAAAACGGGCAAACGTTCCACTGCAAAAAGTACGCACGGCACAAAAGAGAATTATGATGCCGTAGCGGTCTGTCCAAGGAAAATTGTTAGAGCTGAATATAATGGGATGATTAATAAATTCCGTGTACTTAAATTGTTAAATATTAGTTTTAAAGGAATGGTTTCAAAGATAACATTGCTCGGAATCATTGAGAACGACTAAATGCACCCATGTTAAAATGGCATGAGGCACGCTAAGCATTTTACGGAGTTCTGAACAAATGCTCAAGTTGGACACGTATCTCGCTTTCGGTTTCTTATCGGAGAGCATCTCCGCGTGGGCAATCTCGCCCCCCGTGTCTAAAGCGCGCAACGTGCGTGCACCGCCACGCATTGCTCGTGAAGGAGCGTCTTCACTCTGGCACCGATGTCAAAAAGGCGGACCTCATATGACTGTCCGGAAGCTTTTTTATGTAGACTTCTCTACGCGCGATGAGTGGCGGCGCACATACGTTGCGCGTCTTAGACACGGGGGGCGGGATCGCCGGCACAGAGATGTGCTTCGATAAGAAATCGAAACCTACATACGCGTTCAAATTGAGCATTTCTTCGGAACGTCGTAGAATGCTGCGCGTGCCTCATATCATTGCAGCGTGGGTGTTTTTAGTAGTTTTCGATCATAACAGCAAGATCCTATTTGAAACCAGGCCCTTCAAATCAATAGTGTGCAATTTATTCATTCAAAATTACTTACAAAATTATATTGAACGCTAAACATTTTCATTGGTGGCAGGTGCAAAGGGCGTAAGCTGGTTTAGTGGTAGAACCTACGAGCACGAGCATGTCCGTGCTCCCAGCCATATCCACGCAGAGTGCGTGGTCAGGAGATGAAAACGAGTTGGTTGTCTGGCTCGTCAAACGCGTAGCTCCCACCGTACTGTGAACTTCAAGGGGCCGTGCTCCGATGTTGGGTGTTGGGCTTTCTGCACCAGTGGGACCCAAGCACCGGTGTGCCCGTTACAGAAAGCATGTAACAAAATAGAATCACTCGTTAGATTAGGGAGTTGTAGTAGATCGTTTTTCCTCTCCGCTACGGTATCCCCGAGGAAAACGGCGCAGCTGCGCATGCGCGCCGCCAGCCTTGTCTGCATAGTTCAAGGTCTTGTGGCGGATTACGGAGCGCTATCCGGGTGCTTAGCGGGCTGCGGAAACGGTCTACTACAATTCCCTATTGTCAAAACTTAACGGGCTACTGATATTCGTTACCGTCCTTCGAACGTAACGATAAACCGTTATGGTTTCTTTCAAAAGTGAACGAATGTTACTTTTGCGCCAATTTGAATATCGCTCATTCCACAGCGAAAGGCCGAGGATATGAACTCAGACAACCGTTTAACATCTTTGTGAGTTATTAGTTTGTAAGATTTGTTGCATGACCATTATTTTGAAAACTGGTTTTATTGACTGTGCTCTCTTTTATTTTCTATTTTTCCCAAATAATGTAGTAATGTTTTGCACGACCATAAGAGATTTGCAATAAACTGATTGAATATAACACTAATTTGAGTGAGGTCACCGGGTGTCGACAAATTTTCTCCTCATCTGAACGGATACACACTTTGGAGTATTTAGAGGTACTCCCAAGAAAATGGGGTATAATTCATTAAATTACAGTATACCCCTTCTTGGGAATGCTGCAAAAGGTTCTCCGATTTAACTCTTTTAGAAAGTCGGCGAACCAGTTCATTCTGTCGAGCTATGCGCAGAGTGGAGATTACGAGCCGATTTCTCTGATTCTTTCACGAGTTTGTTCTGAAAGCCCTTAAAACCCAGTTTCAAGCGCACTTGAAGCAGGGATATTAGAGGTGGGTCACGAATCAGTCCGGGCATGAAGAAATTGATAAAAAAATTACTTACAATGATAGGTTATCTGGTGGAGAAATGTTAGGACCGAGTTTAGTGTAACTAATAGTAAAAGATGCGACGCTCTTATGGGTGAAAAGGATAGATCTATTCATGATAAGTCGAAGCCGCGGTGTAGGGAACACAAATCAATAAGGACAACAGTAGGCTAACGACACATTCCGAGCGTGATTAAGCGTGCAAACTGTGCTTAGGGACAGTTAGTAAAAAAAAAGAAAATGGAGCACTGATAAGGACCTATCGACCCTAACTATAAACGTTCGTGACGACCGCAACCGCAGAAAATAGTTGCTCTTTCAAATTAGCCCCAAAGAAAAAAAAGAGCATCATATTTTTTCCATATCCAGGACTTTACACCAGGACCGGGGATAGGCGACCCGTGATGCCGCCCAGGAAGCCATCAAAAGGGTTGCGCCGCTGCGCCCCCATTTGAAAGTTTTTTTAGCTTACTAATTTATTTAAACACGGCGGCTCTTTTCCGAAAAAAAAAATACTCGTTTTGAATTACTACTCACATGTTTACTGACTACGTGATGTCGTAGAGAGGAGCGTACAAAAAGGCGAAGGAAACGGGGCGCCGGGGGCGTTAACGGCAGGAGTTTGCCTAGGGTGCTTGATGGGGTCGGACCTGCTTTATGCCGTCCGATGCCTGTTGTTGATAGGATCGGATGAATAGCACTTTGCACCTCACACCGATTTTAGCAAGAACAGAAGTTGCACAAAAATGGGGCGACTAGCAGAAAATCCACTCGGCGGCACACACAGCGGGGCACCGTGACGAGCGCTCCGACCAGCTCCGGAAGACTGCTTCCGTGTACCGGCCGAGGCTCATACAGGAGAATTCCCGAATCGCCCTTCCCATTTGAACCTGTCCCTTTTCAACCCGTTCCCGAAACACCTTTACGTTTGCGCCAGTCCCGTATAAACCCATTGGTATATACCCAAGCAGCACCAGAAAGTGAATTTCGAACGGCCGACGGTTGGCCAGTGTGTGGACAGCTTGGCCACTTTAAGTGCTTGGCCACCGGAGACATAAACAAGGCCGGCAAGGGTCCGGCCACAAACTAGCTGTTTTTAGCTTGTCCGCCGGAGACATAAACACTGCCGGCAAGCGCCTGGCCAGAAGTGCTCATTTTCAGCTTGGACGCCGGAGACATAAACACGGCCGGCAAGTGTTCGGCCAGCAGTGGTGATTTTTAGCTTGGCCGCCGGGGACATAAACACGGTCGGCAAGTGTTTGGCCAGCAGTGGTGATTTTGAGCTTGGCCGCCGGGGACATAAACACGCCCGGCAAGTGTTTGGCCACAAGTGCTGATTTTCAGCTTGGCCGCCGGAGACATAAACACGGCCGGCAAGTGTTTGGCCAGTAGTGCTGATTTTCAGCTTGGCCACCGGAAACATAAACACGGCCGGCGAGTGTTTGGCCAGCAGTGCTGATTTTCAGCTTGGCCGCCGGAGACATAAACACGGCCGGCAAGTGTTTGGCCAGCAGTGCTGATTTCCACCTTGGCCGCCGGAAACATAAACACGGCCGGCGAGTGTTTGGCCAGAAGTGCTGATTCTCAGCTTGGCCGCCGTGGACATAAACATGGCCGACAAGTGTTCTGCCAAAAGTGCTGATTTTCAGTTTCGCCGCAGGGACACCCATAATCTAAACTTTCATCGCGTTGACGAAACTTTGGCATAACGACGGGCAGCGAGAGAAGCATCACGAGCGAGTGGTTGGCAGAATATTAGTGCGTGCATCGCGCGAACACTGCTAGCGCAAGCAAACGATCACCGTTTTATTCAGTTTTTTTTTTCGTTAGACTTGAAAGGCTATTGTCTTAACTAGCACTGTCGTGTGATATGTTCATTTGGAACATTATACTAGAAGTGGGAAAATATTGTGCCCGTCGTTGTTCTATGAAAATAAAATACGAAAGCAGCGCCGACGTCATCTTCGCGTTAACTATCCGCGACTCCAACTAACTATAGGTGGCGCCACTCATTTTCCAAGATGGCGGGTTTAGTGAGGGTCAGAGATGCGCGCCGCTGTTGAGCCCATCTAGTGTGCTGGCTTCACTGAGCGACATAAATTATTTCTGGTAATACAAGGAAGCTAATGTTTTATGAGC